TCACTCACTCTGAACACTGGCAAGGCTTTTTCACTTACCCCATAAACTCCTTGACAGAGCAACTCCATCAGCACTGGACTCCCTGGACCCCTCTCAGCGTCCTACACTGCAGGGCCAGCCTGTGGGACTGAGAGCCAAGCAGAGTTTTTTTCATCAGTGGAGCAAAGATTAAAAACTGAGCTGGTTTTTGGTGCTCACCTTTGAGACAGAATTGGCCTGGCACTGGCAGAATGAAAGATTTCAGCCTAAAAGCCACAGAAAATTCTGTTTCTCAGCTTCTCCAACCACAAGGCTTCCTGGCAGTGACAGACAGCCCCAGATCCAGTCAGGAGGCATTTATGAGTGTCTGCACCCCCTTTTCCTCAGGAGGGCTTTTGGGGCTGGTTCTGCAGCATCACAGGGCTCACTGAGCTACGTGGGGTCTAACGGGTTTCACAATAACAGGACTGGGGCAAAAAATGTCAAGTAGCAGAAAATTTACCTTCAACACAGAGGTAATTTTTTATTTTTTAACTTCCTAGCCTTTGAAGGCTGCATGTCCATCACTCAGACTGCCCAGAAAGCCTGACTATCTCAATTTATGGATTCCATCAGCATCCAGAGTAGGTTTAAAAGGCCCTTGTGTTTTCCACCCTCCTGCAGCGCAGCCCTGTTCATTCCAGCAGCATCCTTCCCTGCAGCTAGCCTGAACACTTCCAGAATTCCCTACACTTTCTCTTCCTGTACCCACTTCCTCACTACTTTTTTTTCCCCCCTCTGCCTGTGTCAGCAGGACAATTCCCAGAGACTCTGCAAGGAAAAGCAGTTCAGCACACTTCCAGCACAGACAACTTTATTGCTGATTTGGTGTTGTTCAGGGAATAGCTGGGGACTTAAGTGGCTCCAGCTGTTAGGTGATAAAAAGTTACATTAAAGATGGTGAACATCAGTGATGATGGGAGATCCCTTCCAACTCTACTGTGCCTGAGCAGCTGAGGGAGACACCTACAGTCACAAGTGACATTGTCACACAGGTGACAGCTCTAAAACGGGCTGAGAAGGTGGTGCTCATCACTGGGTAACAACGATGGCAAAATTAAGCATCTCAGAGATGTCAGCTTGCAGCTGCCACAGCCAGAGCAGCAGCACACCCAGCTGCAGCAGCTGCTCCACATCCCCTCCACTGAACAATTTATCAGCAGGACATGAGAATAATACTCACTGAGATCCAGGACACAGAGTTCTACAATGCAAATGTTAGAAAACACAGTTATATAATGACAGAGCTCAACTGGGATCCAGCTGTAAAAGAGAGGCAGTTTCCAAAGCTCCTTCACTTTCAGCATCACTGTGACAACCAACTACCCAAGGAAGGCCCTGTGCAAAGAAGATTTTGATCACCAGGTATCCTGCAGATTGTAAGGTTTGCCTGAGCTTTTCCAACATCCAGAACCACCCCTCCTCTGCTGTATCTTTGAAAATTACATCCATTTCTATTCTACACGTTTTTAATGAAGATTATAAACCCGAACCTATAAACATGAATATATCTCCTGATGTATCAATTTCAAGAGTCTCAGGTGACCATTTCCACAGTGTTAAAATAAATATTAACTCCTGGTAGGCCCTCAAAGAGGCTGACTTAAAATCATGCTCTTCTGAACGTGCAAATGCATGTTGTGACAGCACTGATTTAACATACAACTTCCCTCTCCCTTAAGACCCATAAACAGCATGCAAAAGAAACCTCATTTCCCAAAATCATCCCTTAAGACACACAATTTAAGTGATCTTTAGCCTATTCTTCAAGAATTTCGAACTGGCCCCAGTTCCTCCAAAATCACTTTTCCCTTTTTACCTTCTCTTCATCACCTCCTGCCCAGCAACAGCCTACAGAATCAAGAAAATTTTATAGCTTCAAAAGAAATTGTTAAATCTTTGGTAAAAAAACAGTTTGGGGAAAATTTTTCTTGCTTCCCATCTTGTTCACCTACTAAAAACTGAGGGAATCTTCTTGATTTCACATTTTCTCTGTATGACTAGATGTAAAAGACATTGGCAAGTAATATTCAGCACTGGAACTGGGCCCAGTCAAACATTTTGAGAAGAGCCCATGGCAATCCCCACTTGGATCAACCACAGACCATCTCCCTCCCTTTCAATACACAGCTTTAAAAAGCAGCTACCATCCATCTCTTGGCACTGATGGGCTGAGTTGGTAACACTGTTAGGACATTTAAATCAGAAATATTTACACTTGGTGCCTAAACACTGCCCCAAGAACAGCAGACCATTTTAAAATCTAGTGATAATTTTATTTGAAAACCCCAAACCTTTATAACTCACTAAGGCTGGTGCCGAACTTTACACTGGGACCAAGGTTTGCCAAACAACAGCAGCAGTGATGTCAAGGATGTCAAGCTAAGGACATTTGAACAGCTCTGCTCAGTATTTTGCTGTAAGATAAATTGAGCAAACTGTCCTCAGTGCACAGAAACCTCTAATGATCTGCCATGGTAGATCATTGCTTTATTACCAGTATTGAAAATAAGTCATGAACATAAAAGCAGCAAGAGAAGAAGTCAGACTGGCTGCAATTATTTCCCCCCCAGTCTCTCCCTCTCCCTCCATGTTCTCCGTGGATACAGAGACCAAAGTGTGTATGTGCCATGTGAGAATGTAAATCACATCACACATTTGAAATTAATTTTAATTTATGTACAGGAGTCACCGTTCATGAACGTACACCGTCCCTGCAGTTACATTCTTTATAAGGTTAAGTCTTCACTGTTCTCTACTGGATCTTCTGATGGAGAAACAGAAAGGAGAGGGGGAATCAAGGAGTAAGGAATGATCACAGTCATTAAAAATTTGGGGACTTTGAGTAGTAAATCTCAGAGAGTCTTCTATGAGGTTCCAGAAATAAATGGTGGCAACGTGTATATATTGCAATTTTATTTCATTCGCTCAAACAAAACGTTAGCATGTAAGAAATTTAAAATGACACAATATGATAAAAATAGCAGAGAATGAACTGAGAAACTAAAAAGAAGGTAAACCTAAATGCATGAAAAGTCAACATTCATTAGTGAACAGCTTCAGTCTTTGATTGACACTTGGTAACTTTAAAACAAGGAACTGGAAATCATTGTGACTGTCTGAAGAGATTTCAGCACCAGCACTAAGGGTTTTACATTCAGTTGGTTTGCGGTTGACTCGGTAGCCACTCGTCTATAGTGCAGGTTTATCACAGGTCAGATCACAGTGTTGAGGAAAGCAACGCCCTCCTGGCATTAGGAAGGATCCCTTAAACTGCCCTCAGCTTAAGACATCCATTGTACAAAAGCACAGAACCACCACAATATGGTTTTTAAAGGACTTAGTCAGTAAGCAAAATAATTGTAGCTTCTGCAGTTCGTTTTCAATACTGAAATCTCTGGAAACGGTGCAACTGTCAGTAGGTCAGGAAATGTCTACAGTAATCTTTAATTCAATCCAATTTCCTGGAAAGAACCAGTTCTGCAGGTTGGGATAACAGAAAGTATGTATGTAGAAGCAGCACAAAAAGACAACATCTGTTCCTTTTTCTTTTAAACAGAAATCATGTTAATTGTAGACCAAGGCACAAAACGTTTAGTGCATAAGCCAGTTCCTTGCACAATCTAGAAGTTCAGCCTTTAATTTTGGACCACTTATAGCCATCCATGCTATTCCACTAGGTAACTCCTGAACCCTCCTAGAAACGAATCAAACGTGATTTCTGACAAGGGTAAACATCCTCACTGCTCAAAAAGTCTGTGTAAAACAAAAAGCTACATCAACAAAGATGAAAATGCCTCCTCTTGTTTTGAGAAAAACAGTACTTGACAAGCTTACTATGGATTTTTTCTTTTTAATGCCTTCAATAAATGCATGCAGAAAAGTGATGTTATTTCTCCTCTTTATTAAAAAAAAAAAAAATGGAATTAGGCAATGTTTCCAGTGTCGTCTTCCCTTAGAATCTGAACCTATGAGATCAGGTAATGTTTGAATGGGAATAAGATTTCCTATTGAAGCCTTTCTGAAGCTGTTAAGTTCTGTTTGCTTTGGTGTTCAGCACTCTAGACAGTCTGTTATTGAAAGCATCTGTGCCACGAATGGAGCTGCCTGTACTTGTAAGCAAATCTCTCCACCAGTTGCAAGTAAACTTTTCTTCTGGATCAGCACAGATTCCAAAGCAAACATGGCTTAGAAAAATGGACAATGCAAGGAAAAAGGAAGATTTTGATCCATATTCTTTGTCCAAAGCACAACAAAGCCAATTTGTGGAATTTCTATTTCACTGAACTTTATCACATTAAAAAAACAAAACAAAAAAAAATTAAAAATTTACACTCATAAGATTGAAAACCCTGGGAAAGAGAGAGGTATCACCTCCCCTAAAAATGATTCTCAAATTGTTGAGCAAAACCAATAGCATACCATTGCTATTTTTCAGGGTTTGTCTGGTGTGGAGCCATGGGGGATTTTTGTTGGTTTTGAGTTTTTTTGGAAAGGAGGGTGGCAGATAAATTAGGAGGAGAAGGGGCCATTTACTGTGACCTGATCGTTCTCAGGTAACTCCTGCTGCTCTGTTCCATTAAACAACCAAAAAAAAAGGAGTCTCAGAAAAGAGTGAAGCAGAGGGTCATGGTGAAAAGGTGAAGGACAATGCACTTACACGGGGCATCCTCAGCAACTCAGATGCCTACAACGTTTTTTCTCTCACCGAGAAACGAGTTCGGTTCACCTGGGAGTTTCAGAACCATTATTGGAAGTTATTACTGAATTTCAAATAGAAAACTGAAAAAAGATACAAAAGGATCAAGTACCTGGTTCCATTAACATGGTTACTGATAAAAGTCATGTTTTCCTCATTATTACACATGCATGTAAGATGAAGAAAAAGTGTAGAAAGTAATAAAAATGTGTCACCTTCCCCCTCCCTCTTCCCACATCTTCCTGGGCATAAATTAAGCCTTACAAATGAAAAGGCTACTCTGTGACATGCAATTTTTCTTTTAATTAAAAAGCTGGCTGTGTTGTGTTACATTACAAAATGTCCACATGCATAAATCTAAAAAAAGCCCCAAAATCTACTGTAAATCTACAACATACTAATGATTTACATTTGACTGCTGATTCGCTTTATGTCGAAGTCTTAGATTTGGTAAAGCATCGTAACAATGTAGGAAGGCATCTACATCTTTAAACTCTGGACTGTATTTGCTTTTTTTTTTTTTTTTTAATTTTCCTAGAAAATTGCATGAAGGCTAACTAGAGAGGCTTCCTATCATAAAATTCCAAAATCTTGATATGCCATCACCGTCTAGGTCACCCTTACCTACAAATATTGCCCTTTAAAAGCACGTGTCTCTAATTGCTCCTTGTCTCGTGAACCGAACTTCTACACATCTGATCTTTTAAATTACTCATGGAAATATCAGATATGATAGGAAGACAAACCTGAGATACATTTGAAGTAAAACAGTATAACTTGCTAACTCCTTCATTAATAAAGAAAACCTCTCTGAAAAGCCTTCCCAAGCTTTTCCCTGTTTGTTTTTTTTTTTTTGTCTTAACAACAAATTCTGAAACATGTGCAATTTTATCTTGACATGAGTAGACTTCAAAGCACTGTGATCTTGTCTGATAGATGTAGGAATTTCTGCATAATCATTACAGTAACTTTAAGAGTCTTTTCCACCCTGCTGTAAAGGTCAGAAAAAAGCTGCAAACTAGGAGGGGAATAGCATTATCACCAGAGTGATGTGTCTGAAGCTTTTCAGAATAGGTTGTTTCTCCCTCCATCCAGGTGTCTGTCTGTCTGTCTCCGTTTTCTTCTAACAGCTCACAAAACGTAGTCAGTTTTATATCAAGTTAAAGAGTCACATCGGCTTAGCACGAGTCTTTCTATGCAGTATTGGACTTGCTGAGCTCCTGCCTGATAGCTGCAGAGAGACAGAGACAGGGTTAGCACATCAAATAAAATATTCTTTACTGGGCAGCAAGCTGGAGCACACAACTGACCCCTCAGAGCAGGCTCACCCTGCCCTCACAACATGAAGAACCAACACCTAAGGCAGCCCCGTGTGGCTTCAGACAAGTGGCATTATCAACCAGCCACTACCTTTTTTTTTTTCCTGTAAAATTTATGTTAAAATCTTTAGTTCCTACCTCCAGCAAGCCTGTGGGAAACACCACCACTGGGATTTTCAAAGTTTTTTTTTTTTCCTGTAAAATTTTTGTTAAAATCTTAATTTTTAGTTCCTACCTCCAGCAAGCCCGTGGGAAACACCACCATTGGGATTTTCAAAGAGTGTAAGTAAGGGCTCATTTCATTTATTTTATTTTATTTTTATTTACCAGCAGCCTCAGGGCCCTGTTTGCACTCTACTGGTCTAAACGGCCGTGGTACAACACAGCACAAAAATATAGGGAAAAGCACGACATTCTCCTCAGTCCCAAACCAGCCAGTTCTTTCTGGAACATCAGTTGATGACATTCAATATTTTGTCAGCAGTGATATTAGATTAATATGACTTTTTTCCTCTCCTCACTTTGCTTTGGTACATTCCACAAAGACAAAAAGAACAAAAGGCCCAGCAAGGCAGTAAATCATACACAGAGTTTTGCTTAATTCTGACAGGTGAACCTTTAGGGTTATTTTTTCTCAATGATTTCCCTTAAGTATAGAAGACTACATAGGAAAACAGCTTCTGTTAAAATAAAAATGAAAACTGTGAGACTTCTTTTCTTTGACTCTTATGTTACAGATCAAAGAGGTAACTGAAAGCTGGAAGCTTTCATTACAATTCTTTCATTACAATTACAGTTTTCTTCTGAATATTATTAGTTTTGAAATACATATCTCAGCAGCTCTGGATTATTTAAAAATAACCCCCTACCACCACATGATGCTATGGATAACTTCAAATCACTCAAATACAGCATCACATTAAAGACACATCGGTGTCAATGTTCTACTAAAACAAAACCCCCAGGAGAGAAATCCCTGAAGCACATCAGCTGGAACAGGTCTGGCACTGGTGGTTTGACACCAAACAAAGAACAAAGCTACTTTTACCAATAAATCAATCTCAGGCCACCAATACATTGTATTTACATTTTAAAGCACCTGCAGCTACTCTAAAACTGAGCAGCAGCAGTGAGCAGGGCAATACTTACCATCAATGAGTTCTTCCTTTAATTTTGTTAACTCCTTCCTCATTTCATCTAAAATGTCCTAAAATGTGTCAGAGCATAAATAACAGATTAGCAAACAGGTCACTTTTGCCACCTGTAAATTTCTGTGGAGAGAAATCCAGAATTATCCCACTACAATTCTTCCCATTAATCCTCAACCCTTCTGAGAAGCATAACCAACCCCTCAGCTTCCAAGTTAATCCTCAAAACCTAAGGCATCCCTAGAACATTATTGGTGCAGGTACAATGCAGAAAAACCAGTCCCTGGAAGTGCCACAAATTGATTCCTGTAGAATTTATGAGAGGAGAAGGGATAAGAATGAGAAAACTTTGCTACATGTGAAATGTGATGTGGAATGCAAAAAAAGGAGCTCACTAAACACCACAAGCCAAGGAACTATTCCAAGGGGGGGAAAAAAGGTAATCAAGGTATCAAGGTCCCAGTCCCAGTGGAATGTGATGGAATGAAGACAGAGTGCTGTCCCTGTTTGCTGTTTTTTCCATCCTTTCCTCCAAGCTCCTCCAGAACCACTCACCAGGCCAAAAGCCACTCTAGAACGACCTGCTGAACCAGGACCCAATCCAGAACCAACCAAAACTGATGCATAAACAACCTAAGGCCAACCACCACGTGGGGACATGGTCTAGAAGCAACTAAAAGTTGCTACCAAAGTAGAAGTGGCTCTAGAATTACCCACTGAGCTGCAGCCTGCACCAGAATCTGTCTCCCCACTTGGGGATGATTGATCCAAACATGACCTGGAGATCCTTCACCTCCAACTCCATAACTCCCACAGGATTCCTCTGCTCTTGAACTGGAGGGCTGCACAAAACACAGCATCCCTGGGTGCTCTTCCACCACCAAACTTGTGACCACAGGTGCTCACATGTGACACTAAAACACGGTGGTACTTGTTCTGCTAGGGCCACCCCAAGAGCTTGCTGTTTGTTTGGATACAGAGAAGAGAAGGAAAGGTTTTCCAGGCAAACTGATTTCCTGTGTGTGCTGCCTAATGCAAGAGCAGGAACTCTGGGAGAAACTGACGGGGCTGTCCAAGCCTCCATCCTACAGCTCCAGCTCCTAAGAATACCAACACATGCCTGGGCAGAACTAAAGACTAGTATTTACTAAATCATTAACTTTGCAACTGACTAACAAAACAGTTAAAAGTTGGTATTGGACAGCTCCAAGTCCTTATATCCAGCTTCCACAGCAACCTTTTTTAAAGCATTATGCACATACCTGCTTCAATCTGTCATAATCTAGACCTTCTGACTGTACTCCGTTGGCACTGGGCTGTCCTGTTGGTGTAGATTTTGGTCTGCAGCACAAAAACACATCCATGAGTTACTGGTTGCCCATTATTACAGGATACATAAGAGATTCTCCCATCAAAATTGCTGATATTTGTCTAACAAAAACACAGTAAAAAATCAAAATGGAAAACAAAAAATGTGGGGAGTGGGAGGATGGGAAAAATCAAGCAGACCCAAAATACCACACAGAATAGAAAGCAACACCCAAGAATGTTTTCCACACACTGGAAATATTAATTACCATAAAAGTTATTAGTTCAAAACAAGAACTTTCAAAGCAGCAGACAGATTTCACTGTCAGTGGTTTCTGATTTCTTCGTAATGGGCATGAAAAGCTGAATGCCCACAAATGTCAAGCAGTTTCCTTTTTAAATTGCTTGCTCATTCAAAAGAGGGTCTCCCAAAGCAGCACTCCCTGACTAATGACTGCATCTTGATCCTGACTGTATGAATGCTGAGCAATCACCCTGGGCATTTTCAACAGCTGACAGACCCAAGCAACATTATCCAAGTCCTCTGCAACCTCAATTATTCCACCAGTTGCTTTCTAAAGCTACTGAAAGCAAATACTGTAACAGCAGCAAGATTTATCAGGTGATACTTGAGAGGAAGTTCTAATGTTTTGGACTATGTCATATTTCATGTTTGCTTATGAAATACTCTCTTTTAGACATCAAAAACTTGCTTACCCAGATCACCTTGCATCTTTAACACAGATTCCAAAAGAAGGGGGTTTTCCTGCCTTTCCACTTCTCTTTCCTGATCCCCTCTTTCATTCCAGGGCTAATTCAGATTCATGGACTTACTAGAGCTGTGAGCAGAGACAGAGCCTGGATGTTCATAGCATGAGTACCAAAAGAGTTCTCCCAAGAGGGAGGAAAGCTCTAATGTTCTCAAATATATTTTACATCTTGGCTAGCATTCTCCCTCCCTTACCTATAAAACTTCAAGCCAAAAAGAAGCTGTTGATAAAACTCCTGACAATTCACCTCAAGGGATTTCCCTGATGTTTAGAATTATCACAGTATGCTAATTTTAAGGGAGGGCAGAGTATAAAGTAAGCTGGATCCTATTTCATTGCCCTTGCATGTGGCATCTCTGAACAAAATAGCCAGGCCTACACTCAGTGTGCCCCTTCAAAATTCCTACACAGGAGAAATCCATTCAGCACTGCATTTTTCTGCACTTGTTACGTGGGGGTGCAGACAGATTTACTGCCACAAAGGTGGACAGGAATGAAAAAAAAGACTTTATTTATTACTTTGTTTTACAAAATCACTACCTTGAGCTTTCATGCATCTTCCCTTGCAAGACAGGAGTTTATCCATAAGGAAATTATCCCGTTCTGCTGGTTTTGTTCATTAAGAGCTGAATGAACCCCACACTAGGTTGTCCTGTTGGCTTTTCCAACCTGACAGGACTATATTCTGACTTGCTGACTGAAGAACACCACTCCAAGTGTGGCTCCAACAGAAAAGGGTGCACACATCAAAATGTTGGTTTGGTACTTGTTCTTCCCTAGGGATCACAAACCTCAACTGTCACTGCTGTAAAGACTTAAGTCCACACAGTTTAAATGTAAGTTCCCAGAGAGAAATTGCTAATTACTAGTCTTGAAACACACCAAAATTAAACACACAATCCACCGAGTAAGACAGAAGATGAAATATTGAGTAACATGATAGTAAAAGAAGCTGGAAAATAGAATTCACCTTGCAAACACCAGAGAACCTACTGTGGGCACTAATGCTATGAAGGCAAACCACAGTTTAGAATCTTTTACAGAACTTTCTACATGTTACAGTGCTTAGTTCAGTATAGAAGAATTCCTTGCTCAAAAACATTCATCAGCTGAGATGTTTGGCCATTGCTGTTTCATCAGGTACCTGGTATTTAAAGAGTCACTTGCAGTTTGCACCTGAAATTGTGAGCCCTGACCTACTGCAGACAGAACAGCTGACTTTTTCAGGTAGTTCATGTATAGTTTCTGATCATTTCCACTGACTATAGCTCTGTTCCCATACACTATGGCATGACAGCATTTATCCAACATGACTGAAAAATATCCTCTTAAATGCAGCTCCTGGCAATTGGTAACAGACACCTAGTGACTGCCTCAATGGAAAAAACCCAACCAATAATATACTTTAATATTTCGTGAAAATTACTTATGAGTTTAATGTATTCATAAGGTGACTTCAAAGAAAAGCTCCACACAAACTGACTGCTTCTTTTTCTTCTTATCTTTAGAATAAGAAGTCAGTTTTACCCACCATAATTATCTACTGCTTCTATCTGTTAAAAATCTCCACAGGAAAGCTTCTTTATGAACACTGCCCCTCTATCTTGACAATGTGTTCCATTTTTCCTTTCCAAAATGCAAGACATTCTTAATTCAAACACTGAAGCACCATAATTAGCAAAATTGATAATTTCTAATCTCAGGATGATCTAGCTGTGTTCCTCCCCAAGTTATCCTATTTTTTTTTTCCTTTTTCAGCCTGAATGCAGTTGTCATTCAGGCAAACATTAACTACTGAAATTAAGTGAATAAAAACATCCCAGCTATGGGATCCCAAGGTGGCTAAAGAGCTCTCCCGTGTGGTTTTTCATAGCATTGCCTAACAGGACAGGGAGGGAAGCCTGACAGTCCCTGACACACCTTCAACCAAGCATGCAAAGGAAAGATCTTATTCATGCCAACATGCAGAATACACCACCCAAGATAAGTAGCTAAAAGGGGAACTTTTCATACAAAAAGATTAAGTAATCACCACAATGAGTGCCTTCATGAGAAACACAGCTGGAATTTGACTCAGTAATTCTGAAGGGCTCTGGAACACATTTACCTCTGGAAAGCTCTCAAAGCCTGATGGGTTTCAATGTCAGTACTTTATGACCACTAGAGAGGGAAACTTAAGATCTCCAGCAAAAAAATACACATAATGTTAACCAACTTGTGAATATGTTCCAAGTAGAAACATTAATTTACGTTTACAAAGTCTTTAAACAAAAAGCAGATGTGAAAACACACCTAGAAAATTAATTCCTGTTCCTCTGTATCTAAACTTACAGTTTTGAAAACCTGCTTCCTAAAACACTGCAAATGGTCCACTAAATCCTGGCATATTCAAGAGGAATTTGTACCTTTGCAGGTGGAGACTGCCAGAAAACCAGTATTTTATAGGAATTCATACCTGGTTCTTAAGCCATCTCAATTTGCCTTTGACAGCATCTGCTTTTAACCAGTCCAAAAGTGGGCTCAACTGGACAAACAAAATGTGGAGGAGGAACCTGGTGGTGGCATGTGGTGATTACCAACCCATGTAGAAAAAGTCCAACCCTGAACGGGTCAGAGGGGTTATTAGGAAGTCTCAAATCCCAACAGGATGATACCTGTTTAATGAATCATAGAACCTGTTTTCAGAAGCAAGCAGATTTTTCCATGGAGATTCCCGTCTACTAGGGGGAGAAACACTACCTTTAAAAGCTATTATAGGTCTTCATTTTGTTCAGTTTCAGCACCTTAAACACCATGGGATTTCAGTAGATTGAAGAGTTCTACTTGCATGTTCAGGAAATATTAAAAGCCCACAGCTGAAATCTTCTCTGTTTGCTCCAAAAAGCAAAGGCCTGATTTTAGACAGGACACTAACTTGTTTTAAAATACTCAATATTCACTCTGAATAACAACAACTTCATATTCTACCTCTGTGGAAGCTCTGAAGAGAAAATTTTGCTGACTTGCCAGTTTCTTTAGTGTGATTTGCTTAATCCCTGTGAGTGACTCACATCCTCCCTGCAGAGGTCAGGAGCAGCTCTCCAGCCCTACCAGGTGAAAGAAATCCCCTCCTGGCAAACACAGTGTTAGTGTTCCAAACTGCAGCTCCCCTTGACTAAACAAAGCTAGTTTAACAAGCTGCTTGCTGAGAGAGACTCGGCAAGTTGGCAAATGCAGAGAGTTAAGAAAAATACAAAGATACTCAAGAGAGACTTCTTCTAACAGCTTCTCTTTCTGTGAAATTTTCCTCATCCTGGCAGAGCAAGCCGTCAACACTGACTAGAAAATTCTATCAGCAGGCCTAAAGTATGTGCTATGGCACCTTCCTGCAGGTTATGACAGCACTGGGAAAGAATACTGACGTTAAATAAACACAGAATTCTTATTTTGGATTAGAGTATATACCCAGGGAAGCTCACATCAAGGTAAATTCTATCTGCATTTTACACTGGCTGAATGAAGACAAAAGCTTGATGGAGAGAGTGCCCCAATAAATCTAAGAGATATCTTAAAAATCCTCTGTACTCCTCTAGGTCAGAAAACATTTTTAAACAGACCTCAGCAACCTCTGAATTTCACCAGCTGGAAAAAGATCAGAGAAACTGGAAGTATGAAACAGTTTACAAAAACCTACTGCTGGTAGGGGCTGGTAGAAGAATCAAGACTTCAGAACATCCCAGACTCCCCAAAAGACTCAGATATCCAGAGTTGCCCCACTTATTAATCCCTTTACCCTATGGATAAACAATTTGAGCAAAGTATCTACAGCCACAGGGCCGGGTGAGCATCTGCCTCACACAATATGAACTCTAAAATGCTCTTTAGGATTCCTTACACCAATTATTTCTGTAACAAGTTCCCCTTCAATGCCACATTTTGAAGCAGATCAGCACAAGAGACCTTGGTCAAAGCAGGTCAGACCTCCTGGGAGGAGGGGGGAGAGGGCAGGGGAAAGCCAAGGCCAAAGGTGATGCAGTATTTTATTACACTGACAGAGCAGCAGAGAGAACATCACCACAATGGCACCTGCTGCTTGACAAAAAACAAAGCAAGCAACCAGGAGCAAGACACCTCAAACTCCTGGATTTATTCTAAAGGAGAGAAAGACACAGAGTGTTTAGTGTTGCATTTCAGAACTGAAGACCCCAAGGGCAACCCCAACTACGAGTGAGGCCACTCAGAGAACAATTGTTTTTAATACTCTGATCGCCCAATCTTCTGTAGCTGTTTCCAACAGGCAGATTTTAATGGGAATTCAAGTAATTTCAAACCCAGCATTCCCAAGTTGAACATGTTCTCTTATTTTCTCTCAAGAAATTCAGGTAACTTCCTCAGATTATCAGGGGTCAGAGCCCTTTAACCTCTGTGTACACAATACACAGGAATGCTAAATGAACCACAAGCCTTTTATTTAAAGTAAATGACAATTAAATACACCTCCAAAAACTGGCTAAAGCAGCCTTTTCACTTACTGAAAATGCCTTCCAAAACACTCCCTGCCTACCAGAGTTCCAGCTGACAAGTTACCAAAGACTGGCTGATGCACTGAAGGATGTAAAGCATTTCTGTACTTCTTTAGGATGGACTTTCTTAGACTGGTACAAGAGCTACTGAAAATTGTCACAGAGTCAAATCTTACCAAGATAACTTAAATATCCACAAAGGCATTCTGTGAGTGGCAGAGAAATAGAAAAAAACCCTATTCTCTAAATTTACTACTGAACATATGAACTGCAGCACTGAATTTGGTTTCACCTTGCAGGAAATTTCAGACTTCAAATAAAAAATTAAACATTGCTGTAGGCAAATATAGACATTATTAATTCAAATTATACACCAGCCATTGTTAAAAGAAACTTTTTTGGGTAAAACTTTTGCTTTTGTGTCAAAAATTTCTTATTAGCATTCTCCAAAAGTAACTCTTCATTGCTACTTAAAACTGCAAAAAGCAGTTTCACAGCAGCAATTTTAAACCCATAAAGGTGATCTTTACTATTCTAGTCCAGTATCTTCAGCAGCATGTGCAACAAGAACAAATGTAAGGAAAAAGCAGCTGGTACAAAAGGGGAGTACCTGGAAATAACAGGTGACTTGCTTCCATTCACTGTATTTGTCCTTTCCCAAGGCTTTCTTGTTAGTTCTGGAAAACAGAGTGAGGAGATGAAAAACTGTCTTTTTCTATCCACTGTGTCATTTATGTGAGGGAACTTCAAGCATCTGGCAACTCAAGTCAACTGCTTGGTGTTTTGCTCTTTTTACTACATTGCTTTAGCTCTTTCACATTAAGCTACCTCTTGTTGTATTCATCTGTGAATGCATCAAGTGAGAGCATCTTGAAGTGTCACTGGTCTCACAGACACTGCAAATGCCATTTGATTCTTTATCCAGCTAGGAGAAGGTCTGCCTATACTTTACAGGCATTGGGTTTATTTATAGGTATTTATAGGTATTGGATGGCTTCAGTTGTGAAACATGGAATTCTGTAACCAGTTAGCTGCAAACACTTGAGGAATAGGTTTCTAAGCTAAAGGAGTTTTCCTGAACCCTTAATGACAGAAAATTATTTCAGTGCCAGTTTCAGTGATGTGCCAGCAGACACAACCTGACACAACTAAGTATCTTTCAGCAACAAGAAAGAAGGTTCATTCCTCACAATCTGCACAAGTTAAAATTGCCTTTCTGTAGTGTGGATTGTTATTACTATTATTTCTGTGGATTGTTATTACTTGCTATCATTACTTACTCAGGACTTCAGTGTGCCAGTGATCTTATCAGTCTTCACTTCAGATTTGCAGTTTGTTTGGTCTGCTCCCTTTCTTTCATACTGTTTAGTTCTGCTAAGCTGGGCAAGCAGAGAGGCAGAAAGGCCTTTCAGAGTCTCTTATTGACCAGAAAATTCCCTGGGATGCAGCTGGATACTGAGAATATCTAAATTGCAAAAATCTGCCAGCACAGCCTGTAACCCAGCCAAGTACAGGTTATTTATGCTAGTAATAAGCCTTGAACTTAATTTTATACACCAGTCTTCAGGACTTGTCCTGCCATAGGAGTTATTTTAGCAGGATTTTAGCTATATCTGCAAAACTGAGAAACTTCTGCTATGGCTGCAGCTTGCTCAAGGATGCTAAGCATTCCTCTTAAAATGCTTTAAAGACCTGTTCCAGTGATGAGGCTCAGCATTACCAGAGCATCTCACAGAAAATTTCTCAACTGGAAGGGAATGGCCAAATTCTGAATGCATTTGACATTTTAACAAGTTTGATGAGGCTTCCTATCATCACCAATTAAAGGAACCACTTCCACTGGTTTTAATTCTCTTCTATTTGGGCCTATATTATCAGAAGTGTTCCAAAAGCAATCATTTTCCCAAGGCTAATGTCCTTTCTGTTTATCAGAATGTGTTTAACAGAATGAAGCAGACTCTCTTAAAAGAAGAGGAAAAAAAGGGGTGTGTGTGTGAGAACCTTGACTTGTGTGATGTCATTTATTTCCTTGCAGTCTGACTTCTCTAGATGAGTGCCTGTATCTCAATACTAAGTTTGCCAGTTATTTCCACCTGGACACACAACTCCTAGCACTCCTTTTTATTCCCCAGCCAGGTGTCACCTGGGTTTTGTTCACACTACAGCAATGGTTTTCAGTATTAAGGTCTGCACATCATCAAGTGGTTGAATCATCTAGAGGAGAAGTGCACACATGGGCAAGCAATCAGCAGAGGAAGCTGGAACAGACTGAAAGCTGGTGTATTCATTATCCAGTTACTTCCTTTCTGCTTCCACTGTCTTTTGGGATGACAGACTGCAGGGTTATATGGCACAGCCCCCTCCTTTTGCAGGTATGTACTGAGAGGTGGCCAGGGAAACTGAGGGTACAGCAAGGTACTACTACAGGACAGGAAAAGAAAGTCTTGAGTGTCTCTTGAAAGACAATAATTTACAGTATGAATACATATTCATGCTGACAGTACCTCTTGGCCAACTGCAGAATGTGTAAGTTTTCCTTACTGACTGCAGCAGAGGTGTTGGCTACACAGCTCCAAACTCTGCCTCTTCAGCAGAGGGATCATGGGCAAAGAATTTCAGCACTGTGCATTTATATTCTTTATTCACTTATGTTCTTTTTATCCATCATCTTCTGAACCCAGACCCATTGTACAGCAAAACCCCAGCTGTAATCATGGGAGAAGAGGCAGGCTCCAAAATCCAGCAGAGCTGACAGAGATTTGTCACTAGATTTTAGCATTACAGAGACCCAGAGTTCACAAACCTGAGCTACTTACCAGGTGTGCTTGTTGAAGAAACCTTAGAAGATGAAGACTCTGATTCTTCCTGATTAAAATGGAGAAGAGAGGGAATAGGGAGAGAGGAGGGAAGGAGAAAAATAATCTTTATAATCTGTTGGATTCACAAGAATCAATCTCAACTATTTAAATATTTCAGTTTCTATATATATATATATAAAATGGTTCTGCTCAACTGTATACAGAAAATGAGCAAGCACTTCACAGAGTAGTGGTTATACAGTAAAGTATAAATAATCTCTTGTATATCACTGGAATCTCTCTGATAATCCTTGTACTGAGTAATATGAATCAGATAAAATTTCTCAACTCACAGCTTTATCTTCTTTCTGCTCTGGTTCTGTTGATCCCTTTTCAGCAATTCTTCTCCTGTAAGCAGAGACAAAAGTTACCAAGCTCATCACGGCTTTAAGATGGAAGAATGTTGTTTACTGCAATTAAAGACTTATACAGCCTCATGAAAATTAAGTGTTTTAAGAAGTACTTTCAAAACACCTTCAAAGGCAAAGCCCTCCTGCCAAAGCAACAGTGCAACTTGAAATCTGCATGCCCTCCCTTACTGCTGCACAAAGGCTTACACAGAAGTACTGGATTACACTCAAATAAAAATGGCTATTGATGAAACATGATCAGCTTCCCAAAGCAACCACGAGCTGCTCTCCAGCTGATCCTCAGCCAGCTGCAAGCAGGCACCCCAAACCCCACCTGTGTGATGACTAAGCAGCTGGAGCAGAGCAGGACCAGCTCCTCACCTCCTGGCCAGCAGGGCACTCATTTCTTCCATCAACCCACTGCCTCCCAAGGGAAGGGGTCCATTTCCACGGCCACCATCTGTTTTGGATGAAGCGGAGCCTCCTCCTCCTCCACTCGGACTGGAGGAGTCTTCACCCTTCAGAGCACACAAAAAGACAGCAGATGTGCCAACAGAACGAGAGCCGACTTCATGAAACCAGCAAAGCTCACGTGCAAGAAAGGCACAAGCGCATAAAGAACGGCACGGGCTGGCAGCACATCCTGTGATGCTTTTTCCTTCGTGAATTAAGCCTACCCCCGATGCCTCGATCCTGCTGTTGACCTTGAACAAAGGTTAGAAGCGGGGACAGGAACGGGAAAGAGAAACCGGAGTTATATTTACCCGTGAGACTTTCCTAAGTTTGGCTCCAGCAAGCGCAGCTGCTAGTCCAGTTAAAGGGCGATTATCCTCGGACACGAATCCCGCTGAAAATCCAGAGGCTGGCAGGGGGGGAGCCGGAGGCGGCAGGGGAACGGGAGGGGCCTGGCTGGGCAGCGGAGGAGGCGGCGGCGGCGGCGGGGGAGGCCCCGAAGGTGGCAGTGGAGGAGGTGGCGGAGGGCCAGGAGGAGGTGGGGCTGCTACTGAAGACTGAGCTGGGCCAGGGGGCAGGGGAGGTGGAGGAGGAGGTGCAGGTGGTCCTTGGACAACACCTAGTGTCAGAGAGAAAACAAACAGAGGGCGTTAAGGATTTAGAAAACAAAGGTCTTACTGCCATTGAAATGGTGGCTCTTTTGCTCAGTCTATGAGACATTAAAACTGGTAAGATACTGGGCAAGGAAACACTGCATTTCAGCAGAAGCATTCTTACCCAATGTACTTAAAAAATTACACAGTATCCTGTGAAAAATCAGACAGTTCCAGAGATGTTTACATGAAACCCCTCCAGTCAGGTTCTGTGCTGCAACCAAGAACAGCTTTACACCAGGAAACAGGCAGAGAGTAAAGTCAGGCATGAGCATCGCAGCAGGAGGAACGACAGGGTGTGCTCACGTGGTGCTGAACAGCATCTCACTGCATTAACAAGCACTAACACATCACCCAAACATCTGAACCCCTGAACTGTTTGCGTGCCAATGCTGATTTCTAAGCTGTATGTAAATCTTTCCTTTAAAATAATTCCAGCAATCAACTTTCATAATTTAATACAAACAGTAATTAGTGAGTTAGAAGACTGACATGTTTCAAGCTAATGGGAAGAAGCCCTTCTATTTTTTACCTATCACTCTTTTACTTATTTAAATTCACACTGTTATCCAAATACAAAGTGTACTTTGAAAAAAGAATATTCTGATGATCATTGCATTATTATTATTATTATTGGAAGAGTTTTAAGAAATCTTGACATAGACAACAGCTCCACACCTCCACAGATCCTACCTCTGCCTCACCAAAACCACCATAAGGCAGAAAAAATTCTGCACAACTACCTTAATCTCTAAAGGCAGGAATTTCACATACGAGTCTTCCTAGTTTCCTACTCTGCTAACCACTGCAGAAATTCAAAAGCCTGTTAAACCCCCTTGGCATCACTCACTGCCCGAGTGCACACTTTTATTCCATACTAGAAGTGAGGCCATTCACTCTATTTCCACTCCATCCCAAAGCAGCTCAGACCTCCATTTCAGACAGGAGGATATAAGCAGGGTCCTCCACTCTGCATGGCTTGTACCAGGTTGCTTATCCCCCAGGAGCCCCTCTGCCCATCTTTGGAGCTACTGCAGAGTTCTGTACTGCATGGCTTGTACCAGGCTGCTTATCCCCCAGGAGCCCCTCTGCCCACACCTTTGGAGCTACTGCAGAGTACTGTGCAAAGACCTACATCTATTAAATCCACCTAAATCCGTTAAATCAATATAAAAGCAGGATCCAGGTTAACAAAGACATGTATTACCATGTAAAACGCACTTCTATCACATTGGTGGAGTGTTCATTAAGGCTGTCACCTGCTTAATAAAACTTTTTGTCCCAAGTCTTCTTAGCTACACTGGTAAAGTACTGCAGAAAGACCTGTCTCTCTGTATCTAAATACACACATATATATGTATGTACAATATATCAAAATACAACCACTGCCCAGAAAGAAATGCTGTAGGTGTCACACATTACTTTCTAAATTTGGATTATTCCTTACTGAAGGTTATTCACATGTCCAAAGCCACACATGTGCTCCTCTATGTTGGCTGCCATTAGGAAACTAATGATCTATGAACTAATGAAGTAGTAACACCACTTCCCAAACAAACCAACAGTGCAGGGTTTACCAAGCAAGAATTTGACCAACTCTGTTCTCAAAAGGCGAGTTCTTAAGAAATCGGAATTTTACTCATGACAGGCCACAGAGCATGGGCTCCTAGGCTCGGAGCTCTTCCATTTCCCTTACCCCAGCTGTGTTTGGCACTGGGATCAGTGCAGCCTGGGAAGCACTGTGCCCATGCCCGGGGCAGTCAGGGCTCTGACCCCCATGCCTGGCGCATTAGTAGCAATAACAGAAAGCCTTACCCTGCTGGCTCGGAGCTTCAACCGGCTGAGAGGCTGCCTGCAAGACTGGCTCAGAAGCAGAGGAGTCTCCCAGCACAGAGTTTAGAGAGTTCTCAACAGAGGCAGGGGTAGCTGCAGAGGGAGAAGGGAGAACACTAGGCTTGGATGAGGGAGTCGAGGCATTCGGGGAGTTGGGAGAAGGAGAAGCTTGAGGCCCAGAGAGTGACAGAGGCGGAAAGGAAGGCAGTGGGGGGGGAGGAGGTGGCGGAGGCGGCGTTGGACCTGAGGTAGAAGGTGAAGGAACCGGATAAGCCAGGTTTTCAGGAAGCCCGTTAGGAGCCGTGGGAGACGTGGACGGCTGGGTCGCCGCGTTGGAAGCCGACACCGGGAGGACGGGTCTCGGGCCAGTGGCTTTGCCTGGTGGGCTGCTTATCATGACTGGAGGAGACGGGGGCAGGGGGGCGAAACTGGGAGCGGCCCAGGCCGCGGGCTTGGTGCTGGGAGGCAGAGTGGCCGCGGCACCGACGGGAGAAGGGGGCCGAGAGCTTTTGTTGAGCGGACGAGGAACCGTAGCGTAATGGGGGAGAACGGGGTGGAAAGCTGAGCCTAGGGATGTAGCAAAACGTGATGCAGAGTGCCTTAGAGGCGGTGTAGGGGGAGTGGAAGTCGGTGGTGCAGAAGTCACTACAGCGTACTCCGGTGTGGCCTCGGCCATTGGCGCTGAGACAGCTTTTGCATATGATGGAGGAGGTGCTGAAGGAGGCTGGCAACTGGAGTATTCAGGAAGTGGAGTGCTATACGGGGAGTTGTCGAAAGATGGAGCTGGACAGAAGATGGAAAGCAGCAGCAAAGGCAGGATAAAAAAAGGAGAAAGAGAAAAAGGGAGCTAATGAAGCAACAAAACCAGCATTCAAACAAAATGTAAAAATGTAGACTACAGTTAGTACCAGAGGATTAGGCACAAGTGAAAATACTGTTAGGAAAGTTTTACATATTATCAACAGCTGCTCTTAAATTTTACCAACTCTTTTTGTGCCAACATTTGAATTTACAAGTACGTTCTAGAGAAAGTTTCTCAAATCCCATCTGTGAGATGGGTTAGATATAGGGTTGAGCAATCAGTCTTTTACCAGCTTTTATCTTCTTGTTTGGTTGCAAACTGCAAGCAAAGGTATTGATCTTAACATTCGTTTCAACTCCACTAATAAAACTCCTACCATAGGCAGCAAGTGTCATCTCTCTATTCCCCAGAAAAAGCTGCATAGCAAATATTGAAAGTACTGGGAATAAAACTACCGATAAAATCCTCTGCTCTAAAATGACTTACATAGTATTCCTTGACTTTCACCATGAGCTGACTTATGTAAATTGAGTTTGAGACTGAAGAACAACCAAGCACTTGACTAATGTTCCATTATATTACCAAAATGAGAAAGCTTTCAGTTATCACTGGATACATTTCCACAGGCAGTGCATTATCTTATCTACAAATACATACAACACATTTCACTGAAATGTTACTACAATACTAGATTAAGCAAGACTTCAGACTGAAAAGCACTTCTCACACTATTACTTTGCCTTGTATAGCAACATACCTTCTATGCTAACACACTCAACCTGATACCTTTTAGGGTTTTTTTTCCCCCAACTTATGTAAGGACAATACATTTGTTGAACAGAGCAAACAATGATATTTAGAAAGTTTAACTCATCACACTTCAACCAACGTTGGAGGTGCCCAAAATTATTCAAGTTCTTCCACGCAATCACAGAGTATGGCAATGGAGCGAGCAAAGAATGCAAAAAAATTTATTTCAGAATTAATGGAAAATTATGACAGGAAAGTCAAATATCTTGGACTTCTTGCCATAAAAAAAGGGAATTCCAGCGAAACAAAGCCTGAAATACTGCCTGTTGCTACACAGCTGTACACACTTGCCATTTGTTGGTTCTCTCACACTCCATCACCCAAACACAAAGAGCAGTGTGGTGGTAGAACACGCTCGGGTTTTGAAATTCTTACCAGCATTTGAAATTCTTCTCTCTCTTTCCCATTCCAACTGTTCCCTTTCCAACTGTTCTTGCCGTTCTCTTTCTTGCCTCTCCCGTTCGAGCCGTTCCAGTCTCTCGCGGTCCTGCCTCTCCTTCTCCTGTCTCTCCCTTTCCAGGCGCTCTTGCCGTTCCCTTTCCTGCCGTTCTCTCTCCAGCTGCTCCTGCTCCAGGCGCTCTCTTTCCAGTCTTTCCCTTTCCAGCCTCTCTCTCTCCAGCCTCTCCCGTTCCATCCGTTCACGATCCAGCCTCTCCCGTTCCAGCTCCTTCTGCCTCTGCTGCTCTTGCAACTGTCTGCAATGGTGAGAAAATGAAAGAGACTAAGCTGCAAAGGGAAAACCAAAAGCATCAGGCAACTGCTCAAAGGACAAGGAGATGAACTAATCAACGATCCTGGCAGCAGCGAGAACAAAAGCACAGCATTTGTACCTACCTGGAAGTCTTAATCCTAACATGCCACTTTTCTGAGCTGGATAATAGTTTTATTATGGTTACAGTAAAAAGAATGACATATCTGATTTCCTCTTAACTAATTGAACATTCTGAGAGACAGACTTCAAGAAGTAAGAATAGAAAGCTGATGCTGCTAATTTACTAACTGATACAATCTTCCCAGTTTGGGATATGGAGTTACATTTGTTCTTTGCACGGTATTTTATACTCAAAGCAGTGAATAGAAGTACAGTGAAATAGCAGTAACACAAACACTCATTAAAAAAAAAATAAGCACCTCAAATAAATTATGGTTTTTGGATTAACTAGTCGGGTAGAATTTATCCATATTTTACAGAAGCATCAAAATGCACACGTGTCCATCCCCACTTGCATCTTAACAGACACACACACACACAGCTGAACTGGCAACAACACGAGAACACCCTGAAGGCACAGGAAAAATGGACATGGTCAAAAAAATCCAGGGTGCAGCAGCCAAGGAAACACTGCAGGGAGCTGGCAGGGTTTCCAGCTCATGGGAGGCTTTGCAAAGCAAAGCAGAGAGGGGGAAGATGTGAAGAGGAGGAAAACAAGTAAAAGCCAGGCAGTGGAAATACCCTAAGGGTAAGAAGAAACCTTGCAAAATTCTCTGCCAGAGCCACTGGGTTGGCTGAAAGGACTTTCCTGAAAAAAAAAGGCAGTGGGAAAAGCTATATACCACCTGTCTGATCCTTTCTTCTCAACTTGTTCTATATTTTCTTTAGGGTTTTTTAGAGCTTTTAAAAAGATTTATCTTCCTATTTGGTTAAAACACAGCTTCTTGATTTTCAAAGCTTTTTCATCTCTTGGGGATAACTCAGTGATGAAACAAAAATTAGGCTGATCCTCCTCCCAGCTGTGGCCAGTATGTTCCTGTCAGTACACAACACTGAAAATGTTCCTAGTTGTTGTTCTCTATTTAATTCTTGTTAAAAAAAACCCAAACCAAACCAAAACCAAAAACATTACAGTTAGAAAGAAAATCTTGTCTACAAAGCACAGAGCCATTTTTTTCTGCCATGTTTCAGATGCAAACTGATGACAGCATCTGAACAAACACAAAGCACAGCCAGCTCCTAACTACAAAGCAGAGAGGAGACCTGAATTTTGACACCTCAAGCTACCAGATGTGTGTTTTCTATACTACGCCACTGGGCAATTTAATTTGGACAACGATTGGCAATGTTATGCTGTATATGTAGAGTCATAAGGACAGAATTCTGAAAAGGAAAGGAACTTCAGCTCTTTCACTCCTTTCCATGCCCAGAAAATACCAACATCACTGCAAACTCCAGTCCATGAACTGTTGTTATTGCAATCCATCCAATTTTCAGACCATTGTTTTTCCTTTACAGACAAAAAAATTATAAAATTTGAAATTTCATTATTTCTATAACAAAGTAAGTTCCTGTTATGCACAACAAAATTACTTTTTTCACTACTTAACTCATTACCCAACAGAAACAAAAAACCTGTTCTGCTCCTTTACCATTTCTTCCCTCAGCCATAAACCAAAGGTGTAAGAGCAGTCACTAGGAAACCAGAGCTGCAACCCAGCTTGTTAAATGACTGACTTTTAGCATCTCAAGTCCACTAAAAAGTCTGGTGATTGACCCATACATAGTTGGGACCAGTAGAGGAGTTCTATAAATGTTAACATAATACAATATAATATAATGACTATAATAAACCACAGAAATATTACTTTAATACCTCCAAGAGATATTAAAAATATTTTTGATGTTACAGTTTTGCTTGTTCTGTGCAAAACAAATTTGACTATGTGCTCTTTTTTCCCCTCAGATAAAACCTATTACTAGAGGGAAACAGGGTTTTCATCAAGGCTAACTTCAGCTTGGTCACGTTAAAATTATTTTTCTTTTTTCATAAAGGAGAGGTGGATGCACATGTTTGTATCTAAAAGACTGTTCAGAGCAGAAGACAACACTGACAGACTCCAAAGCAGCTTTGTTTATTTTCGTCATTCTTTTGCATTCATTCGCCAGAAATGAGCATATTCTACCTAGAAATGTACACTCTGTTCATCCTAAACCTAAAATGTAGATATGGCATTTGGGATCATAAACATTTCACGTTATATTTAGCTTATAATACTGGAAGGTATCAATTCCCTGGGTTTAACAACACATCAAGCAACTGCCAGAAAATTTCTTTTGCTTAAGTTCTCCATTTCTTCCCAGAAATAGAAGCTCAATATAGGTCACTCCTCACACAAGGGCAGCATTGCCAAGGCTGTTTTGCAATAAGCCATACCAAGAGCTCTGCCATAATTTCGTGTTTCCATAAGCAACTTGGAAAGGAAACAGCAAGGTGCTCATCATAAAGCTCCTTCTTAATATTTAGTTATTTAGGGCAGCAAGGATGATGGCTGATTATAAAGAATTACTGATGGATCTTCTAATTCCAGCTAACCTGGGAATAAAATTGGCAAATAAAACTCAACTGAAGTGAAGCAGGGCAGAGAAATGGAAACATCTGCTAAATGAATTTACACAGTGCTGGACTTTGGGCTGCCTACGGACCCAGGAGTGAGATGTAAGGGTTACAACAGGCAGCTCTACAACAACATCCATTCATTGATGTGTCCTGTCCAAAAACCTCAACCAGATGCTAGACAAGAAGAAAGGATTATGGAGCAGTACAGAAATAGCACCACCCTGCCTCACAATCCCTGCATCCCTGCTCCCACCTCAAAAACAGGGAGAACAGCAGAACTGAAAAGATTCGAAGAGCAGCAGAAAACTGTTACCAAATGTACCCAACACCTTCCATTTAAAAATAATTTAGAAAGCTGTAATTCTGCATTCTGGGAAAGACAACTGGAGCTGTATGAAATCCTGAGTGGGATTTCATACCCACTGGGGACACGTGATGGGGACACCCCTTCACAACAGCTGGGAGGGAAGAGTGGATGCAAATAACGAGAGCACAGCTCAAAAAGAAAAGAGCAGTCCTGCACATCAGGCAGATGAGCTATGGAACTCCTTGCCAGAGTGATTCAAAGAAAAAGCAGGAAAAAGCCCACAGGGAAAAAAACCCCAAACCAACAACCATGGGAAATCATTTAGAAAACAGAAATGCCATCATGCAGAAGCTGTTGAACCAAGGGATGCCCAGAGGATGGGACAGCAGCAGAGGGAAGCATCCCAGGTGTTTGGCCTGGCCCAGAAGGGTTTGTGCCATAAGAAAATGCATCTAAGTGTTTAAATTTAGTCTGAAGCAAAAATTATTTCAACTGGCAATGAACACTATCAAATTATATTGGCTAAATAAGATTGAGATGAAAGACAGTGAAATAACCACTTCTATCCACACAGGACCTGAATAACAAAGTACTCATTATTTAGTAATATTGAGTAAGGCAGTATTTAACGGTTTTTTTTTTTTTTTTGGTATAAGAATCCCCATTTCCCATTTCTTCAGAAAATAAAAGGAATAAACCCAGAATTTTTTGCCAGGAACAAAGTTAAGCACTTTGCTTACAGTACAAAAGCTCTACCAAGAGAGGGCAGCAAAATGCCTTGCAAGCATATCTTATACATATGAGATTAAATACACCATTGTTGAGAATACTTTCTCATCACATGTCACTGAAGCATCCCTTTGTCAACAAAGAAGAAAAAAAAAGAAGCCAAACCAACATGCAAACAAAAAAAAAAAAAACAACCCCAACCCAACCAAAAAAACCCACACCTCATAACTCACTACACTTCTGCTGTCATTTTAACAATTTTAATAAACCTTTTGAATAGCACACCAAAAGGTGCACAGGTCAGAAGACCAGTATGCCAGTAATGCAACCAAGTTGCTTTAACACATCTTAATAAGCAAGGAAGAATTCCATAAGCTACACACTAGATCTTAGCAAGTGTTACAGTTGTAGCTAAAAAATATTAAAATCACATTGGATTATTCCAAACAAAGAAAAAAAGGCATTAAATCCCTCTGGTTTGGTTTAGCTAACATTACATAGTATAATTTTATTTTTATATTTTTTCAGAGATCAAAATTGTATTAGACAAGAGCATTAGCAGATTAAGGAGAGTCATCACACATCAATTAAAGTACATCTGAATGTCAAGACTGGTAACTCAAGAACCTTGTGAAAGCAATACCTGAAAATCCTTCAGTCTCAGAAAGCACATCTGGCCACCAGGACAACTTTTGAAAAAGCTGAAGAGATACTCAAAAATGCCCCAGAGAGCTGTCTTGTAGTGAAATGCTTGTTATGCAAAGACAAAGTGATTATTCTATTTTAGAAGTGTGATTTATTCAATCTAGGAGCTAATTTACATGAAACAGCTGAGCCTGCTGTAGAACTGTACATGTCAGTCTCACACAAGGTACTGTTACTCATGTTTAGATTCAGAGTAACTTCAGAATCTCAGAATAGCTGGTAGCTTTATCACAGTGACTGTTCATGTGGATTTTAATTAGCTTCATGTCAAAAGCATTTTGGGAAACTTCACTTTGGGGTGTTTTGGGAGAGGCTCTTGGTTATTTTTTTTTTAGTGGTGCTGTTTTTAAATTAGCTTACTTTAATACTGCACCAGCTTTTAAAATTATTTCCCCTCTTGTCCTTATATTTTTGTCCAGTTAAGGAGATACTGGGAGATACCATCTGAGGATAAAGAAAGAATCATATTTACAATACTAACTCGTGACTTAATATGAGCATTAATCCTGCAGTTCTTTGGGCAGCCAAGCAGCAGGAGCATGACTACATTCTTGAAATAACACACAGGGGGAAAAAAATGCAATGAGCAGAATTAAGCACACACTGTTGCATCCCTGCTGAA